CATTTCATAAAGGGATTGTTTTCCATTATAATTTGACACTAATATGCCTAGCCATGACTTCAAGCTTTTTGTGTACTTGCACCTTTATGCCGATATGCTGCATGGAATTAAAATTGGATACAAAATAAATATAATTTAAAACCTCAACTTGTCTTGTATTCCCCGCACATAGATTGATATAAAACATTGATATTAATTAAATATGCTTTACCCACTTTTCATTTCGTGTTGAAGCACTGCCAAGTTTGTGGTCCCATGGACAGTCTAGTAGCAGTAGATACTGAGTGGTGTTAATCAAATTTTGTGGTTAAAACATTAATCAAATTTTAATATATACCCTACACGAATAGCATGTGGTTTTGTTTTTATTTTGAAATCTACTCAACACCTTTTACATCAACTATTTTTGATGTTTAATACATTACCTTTTTTTAAATTGTCAAAACGGCTCTCATTTAGACTCATGGTAGAAGAATACAGGTAGTCGCATCGACACAGCTGCTGTGACAATGAACTGTCAAAACAAATTTGTGAATGAAAATTTCGAATGAAAAATTATTGAAATTTGTTAAAATTTTTGAAAAATGCTTATCATAACAACCACCGGTTTGTGTCCTATAAGAAAACATATAAAAATCTACTTATTTTCGTTAAAACGTTTTAAAATTTTTGACATGCAAATGTTCCCAAGCGTTGATGCACCTACCGTTATGCTTCTACCATGTCTAGACTGTTATGTTATACAGTGTACATGGTAGAAGAATACAGGTAGTCGCATCGACACAGCTGCTGGGACAATGAACTGTCAAACTAAACTTGAAATTGAAAATTTTGAATGAAAAGTTATTCAAATTCGTAAAAATTCTTGAAAAACAAATATCATAACAATCTCCGATTAGCGTCGTATAAGAAAACATATAAAAATCTACTTATTAAAAAAACCATTTCAAACTAGTTGAAATATCAATGTTCCCAAGCATTTATACATCTACCTGTATTTTTCTACCATGACAGTGTACAAAAACATTTTTCGAGTGGAAAAGTATTTTTTTTTCCCAATATCGTTGTTTCAAACTCGCAAGTGAACGAGCATAGCTTCAATTGACCTATATAATACGTTTCTTGGCTCTTACCCAATTTAATAGACCCAAATAAAAAACACTTAAACTACGTTTAGATTAATCAAATACACTCGATCTCAAATGTTAATTCCATAGCGTATACGTCGAATAATATCCACTAGATTTATGAGTGGATTTCGTAGTCTAAGCTTGCTTTAACCTTTTGTATGTAACATGGTAGAAGAAAACAGGTAGTCGCATTGACAAAGCTGCTGGGACAGTGAACTGTCAAAACAATTTTGAAATTTAAAATTTTGAATGAAAATTTATAAAAATTGTTGAAAACTTCATATCTAATGATTTTCGATGGGTGTCGTATAAGAAAACTTGTAAAAATCGACTTTATTTTGAACAAACATTTTAAAATTTTGACGTATCAATGTTCCCTGTAATCATCTAGGAACATTGATTTGTCAAAAATGTCTAAATGTTTTTGGCAAAAATAATATGTATGTTTTTTATATGTCTACTTATACGACACAAACCGGGGGATCTTTTGACATGCATTTTTCAACAATTCCTACAAATTTCAATAATTTTTCATTCAAAAATTTCAATTTCAAAATTGGTTTGACAGTTCATTGTCCCGTCAGCTATGTCGATGAGACTACCTGTATTATTCTACCATGTTTATGACTACAGAAATGCCAGACAGCTGATTTTTGTTTATATTTATTGGCACAACAAAAAGAAAATACCATAGTAGACGAATACGGTTAAATCCATTTCCACCTGTGAACACTTTCATGTCACAAATCTTCAAAAACAATTCTACATATTTTCTTATACAGATTTTGTGAAAATAATAGTTTCCAACTAATGTACCTAATTTAAATACCTTTTCACTCAAAATGTTGAGTTGCAAAACAGTTTTGACAGTTCATGGTACCACCAGCTGTGTTTATGCGGCTACCTATATTATTTTATCATGGAAAATACAAAATATGTAATAAAGATTTTCGGCCCCTTTAATGGGTATTAATGTAAATATTGCCATAAATCATATTTATGTTCATGTAAACAACAACGTCATACGTATGTTGACGACCTTTATTGCGATGAGCTGTTTCTATCGTGAAAAAGCGTGAATTATTGCCTATAGAGTTTCATAGATCGATTATTTCAAATCATAAACTATGCTGCTTAGATGGCAACGGAGGTTCTAAACTTGCTGGGAATATTAATACAGATGTCAGCTGATTGCTAAGTTATCTAATCTCATGTTATGTTCTGGTTGGTGCAAGAATCTATTGGTTTTATCATATTTGCAACTTTTTATTAAACAGCCATTAACGTACTTAAAGAAGATAGCTTGGCAACAATTCTGGGAAGTGACGGGTAAACATGTATGTTTTGTCCGATGTTAAATAATTAGTAAATGTCAGAGCCATGTTAGAATTCTGTCGTTATTTTTTAGTTTTTGTAAAGCTGGTGAGGCAGAAACCCTTTGATGTTTTTGGTTTGCACTTGACAGATTCCGTTTTATTAGTTTTGCCATTAAATCCCGCCATGAACATAGTTAATGTTTTGCTATCATTTAAAATAAGGAAATTCATAGCTGAATTTTCTGTGATTTACCCGCTTAAATTTGATTGCATAAAAAATATGTTGACAATAGGCATTAAAAACGGTATTACTTTAAAGACATTATCAGACGGCATGGGTTTTACATACATACTGTCACTTTTATGATCCGTACATATGTATTTCCGTGTGTATGTCAGAATTGCCATTTTACATATGACCCATAATTTTTGCTATCACACACTTGCACATGTCTTTTGATTTGTTTTGATTACATTGTATTTTCTTAAAAATTTTATGTTTAGTTCTATACATTTTTAAACCTTTCCGATGAATGTAGGGATAGCTGTGAACGAAAAAGTACGTAAGTACCATGTTAGAAGAATACAGGTAGTCGCATCGACACAGCTGCTGGAACAATCAACTGTTAAACCAAATTTGGAATTGAAATTTTTTAATGAAAAAATTTTTCAAATTTGGTAAAATTAAAAAAATGCATAAAATAAAAACCTGAGATTTTGCTATAAAAAATTATTGAATAATGTAAAAATGGTTGGAAAATGCATATCATATAACCACCCACGATTTATGTCATATAAGAAAACATATGAAAATTTACTTATTTTTGAAGAAACGTTTAAATTTTTTTGGCATATCAATGTTCCCAAGAGTTGATGCATCTACCTGTATTCTTCTATCATGGTAAGTACATTACTCTTGTATTTGAAAGCTAAAATGACGTCCATGTATCGGACGATGTGTGCCACTTTTACATGTGGAAAATTTGACACCACATATTGTCTGATAGAGCCTTAAGGAGTAGCCCATGGTAAAACAATAAAAATAGTCTCATTTTAAACGAACTCAACCTTGTCATTTTTCAATTGAAAAATATTTCCATACCTTAAAAAATTTACGTATGACAAGTGGCAATTTTCCCACAAATAATAAATAATCTCTTATTTTTGTTGTTCACATGTTAAAATTAAGAAGGAAAAGTCATTTCAAACATAGCCATCTCTGCATTTTTTATGATTTAAAGTGAAAGTACATAAAAAGCTTGAAGTCATGACTAGGCATATGTCAAATTACAATGGAAAACGCCGTTAGGATTTTAGTGCGGCTCTGTAACCCCTTTATGAAATGTCACAAAATATGCCTAGCCATGCCATCGAGCTTCTTATGTACTTACACCTTTACCTTGTAAAATGTCAATGCATAGATTTCAGGTTCCCATCTCTGATTTGTGTATGTACATTGGATTTATAAATATACAATTTGACATTGAGATGTTGTCAAATGATTTTTTTTTAAATTGTAAACATGTGATTGCATGACTTGACCTACTTCATTCTACCATGTCATTTATTAAATATATCAGGAAGACGAATGTTCTGTGTCTTTTCTTGTCTTTAAACATTTAAAAATGGGGATTGTAAATCCCCGATTTTAAGGAAATTTTCTCGTTGCTGTTTGATGTTGTGTCCTTGAATGACATTTTATGTTAAGTCAGCCTTTAAGGATGAACCCACAGGAAAAAGGTGAGAATACATAAAACGCTTTTCTGAATGGCAGTCATTGTCTGGCTTCTTCGGATAAGAACCATGGCAGAAGAATACAGGTAGATGCATCAACGCTTGGGAGCATTGATATGTCAAAAAAATTTAAATGTTTTTTGAAATATAAGTAGATTTTTACATGTTTTCTTATACTACGTCATTCGGAGGCTATTATAATTCGCGTTTTTCAACAATTTTTGCAAATTTAAATAATTTTTCATTCAACATTTTCAATTCCAAAATTGGTTTGACACTTCATTGTCCCAGCAGCTGTGTCGACGCGTCTACCTATATTCTTCTACCATGGATAAGAACCAAGGAGTGTAGAGCCAAAATCGAACTAAGTCAACCTAAAACTTCTTCTGTTCCTCTACGAAGAATCCTGTCTTAAGTCAGTCAAAAAGCTTTTTATGTACTCTCACCTGCATCATCTGATAACAACCTTAAGGTGAGAACACATAAAAAGTTGTTTTACTGGCTTAATTCATCGGCTGGCTTCTTCGTAGATGAACAAATGAGTTTTAGGTTGACTTAGTTCGATTTTGGCCCTGGGCTCGTTTGTTCATTTCCCAAGAAGCCAGACGATAACTTAAGCCAGCCAGATAAGCGCTTTATGTATTCCCACCCTAAAACCAGTCAGAGAAGCGTTTTATGTATTCTCACCTTCAGTCAGTCAGTAATTTATCCAATGAACATTATATTAAGCCATCTGCTCTAACCCTTTAAATTATAAAATTTATGTTTTTATTTTAATAATTTAAATAAAATTTTTATTTTCCCCCTTTTCTCTTTCCAGCACAATGAACTACACAATAGTGATGAGGAAAAACGTTATTCCGAAACAAGTTTACACACCAAATCGGGAGAGAATACAGAAAGCGAGACTAAACCAATCACAGCTGTTGATGGCATTGTGGCTGTCGTCCATGTGGCCGAAGATGAGGCCCAATTGCGAGAGAGAAAACGGCTTGAACAAAAAACCCGCAACACCTTCGGATGGGCTCGCATTGAAATACTTACCATGTTAATTATTTGCATAACCCTGGCATCTCTGTCATTTTCCCTGCTTGTCGAGGCATTGCAGACGCTGGTGCATATCGATCATCAGGACTCAATGCATTTGCCTGTGCATGTAATGATACTTGGTGTCGTTGGTTTACTCTTAAATGGTTTCACATATATCCTTATTGGTGGCTATACCCTGCATCAGGGTAATTTTCTTCATATCAACCCTATGGGTAAAGTTGTGGTGGAATCTTCAAATATTACCATAGAATCGAATGGCTTAACCAAGGGCAGTATTGTTAGCAGTAGTGATCATCAGTTGAGGGAGGATTTAAAATCGGAATTGGGCAAGGTACACTATCATACAAGGCGTGAGGGTCCCGCTGAGCTGTTGCGTGATGTCTCCAGTACAATATTTGTTATTGTTTGTGCTGTAATTGTGCACTTTGCCAAGGATAAGGAGCACACAGCGAAATTTATCGACCCGGTGCTATCGATATTTTCCTGTATCCTTGTGGTGGCCCTGAGTTATCCTTATAGTAAGTATACAAATAATGAGGGTTATTATTTAAATAATCAATTCTCGTCTTCTTCTCTTTCCAGTGAAAGAAGCCTGCATGATTCTGCTGCAAACTGTTCCCGGAACAATAGATATGGAAAACTTCGAACGCAATTTGGTTACAAAATTCCCACAAATTGTCAGCTACCATGATCTGCACATATGGCAACTCTCATCCCATAGCTACATTGCCACCATTCACATTATTTTCAAAACCCCTAAATTATATGAAAAAACCATAGAAGACATCAAATCGCATTTCCAAGAGCATAGAATAGCTCATATTACCATCCAGCCGGAATTTCAAGTTGAGGGTGTGGCAATTGAGGCCGGAGCAACCAAAAACTCCATGGAATGTCTGATGCAATGTCAAAATCCCGATTGTGCCGATAAAATGTGCTGTAAAGATTCTCAAACCGATTTGAGAGAAGTCAGTGTATGTGATGGTCATGGTCATGATGGTGGTAAAAAATCGAAAAAACATCACAACCATCACCATGGACATAGTCATGGCCACACTGGGCACAGTCATGCTCATGGCCATAGTCATAAAACCAAGCCAGTAAATCATAAACACAGCAGCAAACAATGTGATAAATCTAAAGACAATGAAATGACCACAATGGAAAATCTAGGAAAGCAAAACGAAACCGCAATAACTTCTGCAGGCCAAAAAGTTCCTAATCTAGAAGAAAAACACAACTTAGACAATAAGGGGGAAGAAGCAGCATTAAAAGTGATAACTCCATCCAGTACCACAGCTACCGCAAAGACTGAGATTTCTTCGGTGGTTAGTGATAATAGCGAGGCTAGTACAGAAACAATGCCACCGTCAATTCCCAGCACCACCACTTGTTGTGGTCACGATAATCAGCCGACAACAAGTAGCATAACTAAATGTTAATTTTATTTTATGTCTAAAATGTTGTTAATTTTCTTTTTACAAAACCCTGGAAACCAAAGAAAATTCTAAGCCATTATTTTTTAGAATTTTTGGAATTGATTTCCATTTTGTATTTATTTTTATGTGTGTGTGTTTTTTTAACAGAATAACAGGGATTATATCAATAGTTCTTCCACATAAGTATTTTGCATTTTTTTATAGAAAAAAAAAAAACATAAACACATATAACAATAAAATTAACAATTTAGCCTTAAGTATTAATTTTTTGATAGTATTTAAGTGAAATGTTTAGCATTTATTGTAGTATGACTTGATCTGAAAATTATTATAAAATAATTAAAAAATAGATTTGAAATTATAGTAATTAAATATTAAAACTACATATTTTATGTAAATGTGCCTTTATTTAACGGCGTGTTTAAAACAAAGCACAAGACGCCATTTTATTATTTTTCTTTCCTTGTTTCTTTTTTATTATTTTCCTTAGTTCATGTTTACACAAGGAACTTTGCAATGTCTATAACACATAAAGCTAGCTGGCCACAGCTTAAATTGTTTGTATATTTTTTAAGGTCGACAGTGACGCATGGCATTAAGTCCAAGACAGATTAATCGCTTGAGTTGTATTGACGAAAATAAATTTTTAACTTAACTTTTGACAAGTTAACAAACAAACCATTCTACCATTAGCCTTTAAGTAATGAAAATACAAGCCAAATTATTACAAATTTTAAAAGAAATGTTGTGATTAGTTTTATTCATAATAGTCACATGTGTGCTATTTCATTATTTAGAATTGTTAAAACTATTTAAGATAAAATATAATATTTTTCTAAATAAATTAACTAAACAAAACAATATTTGAAATGTCTCAGAAAAAAATTACTTTTGAAATTATTTCAAGGAAATATTAGATTGTGAAAATTGACCTGATATTCATGACATGTGGACATCTCGAAGAAATACCTTGGAAATGGCCACTAATTCTCCAGATTTTTTGGGAGAAAAGGAGTGTTTTGCAACAGAAAGACAAGTAAAACAGCAGGCCGAACTTTGAATACCATCCACCAAAAACTTTCAAAAAATTAATTAAAAATTCTGTTCAAATCTTAAAAATAACGAATATTGGAAGGTGACGATATATGAGGATATACGATATTGTGGAAATCTATTTCTGATATAGACAAATCTATCACTAGGGATAAAGTACTCACAAGAAACTCCTTCTGTAGAATTTCAGACAATTCCGTTGAAAAATGAGGCTAAAATCATGAAAATATCGAATATCGGGAGGTACCGTCATATGTGGGCTATATGGCATCGTGGACCTATATAGATACTTCTCTTCCAGAAGATAAATTACTCACAAGGAATCATCAAAATATCGAATATAGGGAGGGGGTACCGTTATATGGGGGCTATACGACATTGTGGACCTCTATAGATAATTCTCTTCCAGAGAATAAAGTACTCACAAGGAACTCCTTGTGTGAATTTTCAGACAAGTCCGTTGAAAAATGTGGCTAAAATCATCAAAATACCGAATATCGGGGGTTACCGTTATGTGGGAGCTATACGATATCATGGACCGATATAGCCCATCTTCGAACTTCACCTGCCAGCAGACAAAAGACAGACCTGTGAAAAATGTAAGCTTCCTATCTTAAATCGTTTTGACTGTAGCGTGATTACAAACGACGGACGAACGGACGGTCAGGTCTAAATCGTCTTTACGCCGATTTGTTGGGTCTAAAATTATTTCGATGAGGTACAAACGGAATGACGAACTTAATATATCCTCCATAGTATGTATGGTGAAGGGTATAAAAATAGGCTCAAAAGAGCTAAAGAGTTGCTTCGCGTGGCCGAAAGTGGTGAAAGCAGTTTGTAAACAAACAAAATGATCGTGTTTACTTGTCAAAGAGGTCAGCTGAAAATGTGCACCTTCGGTTGGACACCTTCAGTTGGAACTCAAGCTCCGGTGATGATGTGGGCCGTAGCATCAGAATAAATGCCGAATATTATTGCGAAAATATTCTGGAGGGTGTAATTAAGACCTTAGACTTTTTAAAAGGCCTCAGCGTCATCGCACTCAGCACGTGCCACCCAAGAATGGTTACAAAATGAGGTTCCTCGTTTCATTTCCAGCGCACAATGGCCACAAAAATCTCCGGATACCAATCCGTTGGACTATTGTGTCTGGAGTATTTTGGAAAGCAAGGTTGGCTCTAAAAGTGCAAGCCCTTCGCCGGGAATGGGCCAAAATACCGCAGAACAATATTCGGGCAGCGTGTGACTGTTTAATTGGCCGTTTGAAGGCCATAAGTCGTGCCAAAGGTGACTAATTTGAATAAATTTAAACTAATTCTAAAATTTGATGATATTTCCGATATTTTTTGCTTTCATTCAATAAATTTAAAAAAAAAATGTAAAAATTATGGCCTTTGATTTTGTTGCAGTTTCTTACCCTGTATTCGTAACATAACTATGGTTCCTTCATTTTTTTTCCCAAATCAAAATACCACTTTCCAATTTTGTAGAGTAAGATGTTCAAGTCTAAGTAAAAACCTCCCCATTTCCAATAACACAATCCAAACACACAATTCTTTTTAAATTATCACCTAAGTGAATTGCACAATTTATTTAAAGTAAATTTAAAAATAAAAATAAAACATTTGCAATAAATGTTATAAAATTTAAAAATACATGAACAAAATATTGACCAATTTTAAAAGACATCACATCGATGCCAATTTGTTATAACAGCAATAAGTACAATAATACATAACTTAGGAATTACGTTTCTCAGTTTGTTTGTGACGATGAAATCCCTTGGAAAAGGACACTAATTTCTATAAAGATATCATACCATTCAATATCTCTGTATTCTCCTAATAACAAGTGGCATAATAATTGTATTCTCAAAACAAGGCTTATTTTTATATATAGGAATTACACCTACAAGGTTTCTAATTGAGCTGTGTCCTTTTTTAATTAAATAATTTATATTTACAATATCTCTCTCTCTTGATAATATCTCTATTTTATCCAATCCTTGTCTATTTCACTTACAGTACCCATTAAATATTCCAGCGTAAATAAACGTATTATTCTAGCCAAATTCTCGGTGGTACTGTAATCAATTATTGTCTCATTATCATCGGGTGTGTGCCACACCGTGGGAAAAGGCACTGGTATGATGTGTAACACAGGAACATTGCGCCGCAAAAACGGTATATGATCGTCTTCAATGAACGATGATCTCAAGGCATTGGGTTGAAAATAGCGATTAGGGTCTTGAGGCCGCGACACGCCACTACTAACATAACGTTCCATAAGACCCGTATCGGCAAGACGATCTTCAATATTTAGCAGGCGGCTATACCAAGATTCTGTATTACTAAAGAAGCTATAAAATTTTGGATCTGGCATGCCCAACAGATCCAGTAGCACCAATAAATCTAGTTTAGGTAAAAATCCTTCCTTTTCCCATTTCCGGGCCAAATGACGAGCACCATAAATCGAATCTTTGGCACTCCATTCCTTAAATGCCTCTTCACCATCGAAGAAAATGAACATTAAACTCAATTCGGTGTTACGGAATTGTTCTAGTTGCTGCTCCAAAACTTTGGCTAAGTTTAGCATCATTGCACAGGGTACTGCCGAATCGGTGGCACCTAGAAACTCCGTCCCTTCCATATATTTACTGTCATAATGGCAAGCCAACACCAAATAACGTTCAGCATTTGGATTTAGCGTGGCCACAATATTGTGAAAATGCAAATGACCCAGTATGGGTACGGTCTCATGGAAACTATGCAGCTTCACTGACCATTTTAAGTCTTCCAAAGACTGGACAATAAATATTCGTACTTTTTCATGGCCTGGAGTTCCAACAATGCGTGGTATTAATATTTCCTTTACCGAATGCTTTAAATGTTTTACATTCGAAAGATGGGCCACTTCATGGAAATGGGAATGACTTAGCTCTTCAACATGATAAGGTTGCTGCAAAGAAAAGCAAGAGAAAATTAAATATTATTAAAACTTAAAAAAAAAGTCGAAAGCAATCCCACCTGTTCTTGTCCCACCAAAAATCCATCATCACTGTTTCGAACCTTAGCCGAAACGGATACCAATAAATAGATTACGATAACCCACAAATCGTTTGAGGCCATTTGAAAACTAAGGACTTTGCCACGTTATCTTCGGATTTTAAAATACAAATATATTACTAACTGCTGCCGACCCACCAATTAACACAGCTATATATAGATCTAAATTTCAACAGGTGTTTTAAAATAGCACCACACATAGGGGAGTTTCCGCCGTCTCCTATAAAACTCTAATAGAAACTATTTACAAGTTGTTGTTGTTGGTTTTTTGTTATTGTTGTGTGGCATTAGGTCGCCTTCGTTCTAATTATTTACTCTTTTTTTCAGCAAACAACACAGCGCTGCATCCCCCAAAACCAAGTATTGGAACCGAAACTAATCATGCCGCCTTCACAAGTAAGTGCCAAGTTTTCATATTCAATTGGACATTTTAGAAATTGAAAAGAATTCTTTTAATTAATTTGTTTTATTTGTTGAACATTCGTTGATAAGAGCACCGACTGCATTAACCGAAGTAGGGTTACATAGATCGACTTTCGGTTACTACATTAAAAGCATATGTGTGATTTCCCTTTCCTTTTCAACACTCAATACAGGGTTGTATTTACCCAAGAGAAGACACAGTGGTCCAAGAAAATATTTCAAATGTACTTTTGATCACAATTAATCAACAAACTATGAAGTATAAATAATAGTGTTACCAACAATGTAACAAGCACATATTTATCAATGTTAGGTGATTTTAACAGCAATGACATTACGAAATAAAATGAAAAATTTTATGCACAAACATTGGTATATATTATATTTTGCGTCATGTTGCTATTTATAGCTGTTTTTGTTAACATGTCTATGTTACATGTGTGCATATACATTTTTCGTTTATAATGCATTTTGTACAGTATTTGCACATCTATGTGTTTACATGACATGAGATGATATGTGAGATGATAAAACTGCAACCAACTTCAGACTGCTGTCATTTACAAGACACTCGTCCGTCTGCTGTTAAAATTATTCCCATGACAACTCATTATATTGTTTACATGCGTACAAAAGAATTTTGATGAGAATTTTTCCAGCAAAAAAGTTATTCGTGATGGAATTCAAGCGTGTTAGTGGGATTTCTTAATATTTGGCTGGGAAACCACAAGTGGCTATTGTTAGAGCAGTCCAGCATTTAAATCTGAATAAATCTTTTGTGTCTCGTAACATCGATCGTTACCGTGATACAGGTAGCGTAGCCCGACGACAAGGAAGTGGACGGAACAGAAATGGTTCAAAAAGTAAAGAAGCGACTAAATCGAAACACGCTGAACTGAACATATCGCAATATTCCATTCGGAAAATATTGAAAAATGAGCTCGGGGTAAAGCCATTGAAATTCCAAAAAGTGCACATCGCAATATTCCATTCAGCAAATATTGAAAAATGAGTTCGGGATAAAGCCATTGAATTTCCAAAAAGTGCAAGAATTTATACCGCAACAGAAAGAAAATAGACACAAAAGAGCTAAGGAGTTGCTTCACTTGGCCGCTAGTGGTGAATTGCCGAATTTGGTTTTGGTTTTCTCCGATGAGAAAACTTTTGTTGTCCAGCAGTTTGTAAACAAATAAAATGATAAAAGCCTTGGGCACGCAAACATTTTGGCAGCAGACCTTGGACATTCAAACAGGACTCAGCACCATCGCACGCGCCACCCAAGAATGGCTACAAAATGAAGCGAGGAACCTCATTTTGTAGCCATTCTTGGGTGGCGCGTGCTGAGTGCGATGGATACCTATCCGTTGGACTATTGTATCTGGAGTATTTTGGAAAGCAAGGTTGGCACTAAAAAATACCAAAATGTCAATCACCTCAAGCAAGCGGCTCGCCGGAAATGGGCCAAAATACCGCAGAGCTATATTCGGACATCGTGTGACGGTTTCATTGGCCGTTTGAAAGCCAAAAATCGTGTCAAAGGTGACCAATTCGAACAAATCTAAACTTTTTCTAAAATTTGATGCTATTTCCGACATTTTTTGCTTTCATTCAATAAATAAAAAAAAAAACTGTAAAAATTATGGCATTAGACTTTGTTGCAGTTTTTTATCTCTCCCTGTATATATATATATGTATGGAAAAACAAGAAGGTTAAATAGGCTGAGGTCAAAATGCCTGCAAAATGAATGAAACGCCCTGATGTTCTTTCAAAACTATGATCCCAACTATTAATAATGTCAATCCCATGGTAAAACTGATTAATATCATGGTACAACAAGGAGGTAGAACAGCTTCGTAAAACTACAGAAATACAGCTCTGAGGCTATGCCCGCTTCCTGTCAGAATTATTCAAAATTATACGCATCAAGTTGTTTTCATTTATTTCACATTTTTTAAATGACAAAAATAAAGAGTGACCAGTCCTTCAATTCCCTGGCTAAACTGGTTAATATCTTCAAAGCGTGCCCCACAATCTACGTTTCTTCCAATCATTCATTTCAAAAATATTTTCTTTTTATTTTTCAAAGCAATAATTGCATACACAAAATTGGCAGAAGTCGGGCACACTCAGAAAAAAATGGTAGTCAGCTAGTAGCTCTACCTTACCATTTTATTGTACCATGGGTTTACCTCTTTTGTAAAGCCATGGTTTATATCTTTCAAAACGGTCAGTACAAACATAAAATGCAAATTGCAATTTTGTTTAGGCATGTTCACCATCTATAGAATGTACTTCATAAAATTTGTGAATTTATTTTAAATATTTACCTCAAGTCCAAAGCACCCCTAAAAATGTTTCTTTTGAGCCCACTGTAATAACCCATCAACGAAAGCAGAGTTGTAACTAGGCCATGTGTTCAGCGAATACACAATAAAAACAAACATGAAAACACCCCCAACTGTCCATTGCTCTTTGTTTTTTTTTTTTCATTATGAAAACCAAAACAACCCATATCCACTTCACATGGAATAAAAAAAATATTAAAAAAAATTCTTTCTTACCAAATCTTGAACCTCAAACGCAGCTCCCAAATTGTAAATAAATTTCCTTTTCGTTGGCAAGAGATCTTGTAAAAAACTCGGGCAATTTTCACGAACTTGCTCCAATAGCTGGCCATAGGATTTGGAATATTGGCGTAAATTATGAATTAAACGCATTTTCAGAGACAAAATACTTTACACCAACAGGAAACAAACGCTACCCTCAAATTGAAAACTAACACTGCGGGTTGCTTGACATTTTTGTGTGTTGCGGAGTGGTAACAATTGTTCAATTACGCAAGTTCAAAACCTGCTGTTGTCGCTGTAAACATTCTAAACAAAATGTTTACAACAGCGCGCAATTTGTTTTCAAGGCTATGCTTGCTTACATGCTAAGGTGTTGCTAAACATTTGGCTGGTTGTTTAAAAAAATACATAGGAGAAACACAATTTATTGCAGTGCAGAAGAACAATAACAAAAATTATATCTTATAAAGGAATTATTATAAAAAAGGGAATTATTCATTTTTAACACAATACTTCTAGCAGTCCATCTTATTATGTATGTCTTGTTTTTGTCATTATTATTTATTTTAGACTTAATCCGTCTTGGTTGAATCTTTACCGCCGAAATAGGCCCGGTATATGTACAAACCCAATGCCAAATGCAAAGCCAAAACAGCACCCACCGCCGAATAGATATTGGTATTCAAATCGGTCAACGTAAAGAATCTATCCAGTACCACAGATTTGAGGCAGAAAAATGTGACCACAGGCAGGAAAACAATCAGCGAACAGTAGAAGAATACGATTTTAAAAGAACTATAGTCTTTGGCGTCCTAGAAATAAAAAAACAAGTGCTTTGCTTGTTGTGAAAATGTCGAGCAGTGGAAACTCTTTTTAACTTACATCGGATCTTTGTTTCTTTAGTTTTTGTTTGTTACTTGCAGCTTCTCCCGAGCTATTTAATTTGTTTTTATTTGCCATAATTTATTATTTTTTTAATGAAAAACACAAAAATCGTCTCAATTTATTCACTTTCGGAGATTGTTGTCAAAAAATATGACATTTGACATACATTCCGGCAAGAGTAGTCCAATCAACGTCACATGATTAACTATACAGAGTTGTATTTGTGTGCGATAGTTCAATTAGTCAAACACGTAACGCAATCGTAATGAAAGAAGAAATAAATGAAAGAGACATTTTTTTATTTAGATTAAATTTAAAATATTATTGCTTTTGAAACACCTGACAATGATTTAACAACAATTCGTGAATACAAATGACTTTTTTTATATTATGATAATGCTAACAACAATAAAGAGAAAATATATCAGAAGATATTTTTCTGACATCGACTGTCTTTTTCGTAAAAGAACATCGGAGTTTAAGTTGACTTAGTTCAATTTGGCTGAGTTCTTAGTTTAAAATATGCTGGTAACTTTGAAATATACAGGCTGACATAAAAAACTGCATCAAACTCAAACGCCATAATTTTTACATTTTTTTTTTTTAAATGTTATTGAATGAAAGCAAAAAATGTTGGAAAAAGCATCAAATTTTGGAATAAGTTTAGATTTGTTCGAATTGGTTACCTTTGGCACGAATTATGGCCTTCAAACGGCCAATGAAACCGTCACACGCTGCCGGAATGTTGCCCAGCGGTATTTTGGCCCATTCCCGTTGAAGCGCTTGCTTGAGGTGATCGACACTTTGGCACTTTTTGGTGCCAACCTTGCTATCTAAAATACTCCAGAAACAATAGTCCAACGGATTGGTATCCGGAGATTTTGGTGGCCATATGTGCGCTGGAAATGAAGCGAGGAACCTCATTTTGTAACCATTCTTGGGTCGCGCGTGCTGAGTCTTGTTGGAATGTCCAAGGTCTGCGGCCAAAATGTTTGCGTGCCCCAGGCTTTCATACACCCTCCAGAATATTTTCGCGATAATATTCGGCTTTTATTCTGATGCCACGCTTGAGTTCTGTGGCCAAAAGAAGGTACACATTTTCAGCTGACCTCTTTGGCAAGAAAACACGATCATTTTATTTGTTTACAAACTGCTGGACAACGAATGTTTTCTCATCTGGTCCCCAAACCAAATTCGGCAGTTCACCACTTTTGGCCAAGCGAAGCAACCCTTAACTGTTTTGATTCTATTTTCTTTCAGTTGCGGTGTAAGTTCTTGGACTTTTTGTGAGAATGGAATATTGCGACATGTTCAGCTCACGAGCCATTTTTCGGAAACTGCGACGCGAGTTTCGATCAAGTCGCTTCTTTTCTTTTTGAATCATTTCTGCTGATGTTGCTGTTTTCTTCCATTCACTTCCTTGCCGTCGAGCTACGCTACCTCAACCTAAAACTCCTTTGTTCATCTACGAAGAATCCAAACCATGACTTAAGCCAGCCAAATATGGGCTATATGTATTTCCACCCTTAGAAATGACAGCAGTCTGTAGTTTGTTGCAGTTTTTCATCTCACCATAAAGTCGGCCCCGCCCGAGTCTTAAAGTGGGAATACGCAAAGCGCTTTTCTGGCTGGCTTCTTCATAGATGAACAAAGGAATTTTAGGTTGACTTAGTTCGATTTTGGCCCTAGGCTCCTTTGTTCATTTCCGAAGAAGCCAGCCAGATAAGCGCTTTATGTATTACCACCTTTAGATTTTATTTACTGGTTTAGTATGTTCTTATATGTTGCCGTTCTGAGGCTGTTATGATCGGGTTTTCAAACAATTTGTTAACGTTTTTTTAATTCAAATTTTTAATTTCAAAAATGATTTAACAGCTGTTTATGTGACTTCCCTTTTCCTTTTCACTTATTGTTACACTTGCTTTTGTTTTTTTTTTTTTTTTTAATATTCACAATTTAAATTTTCTAAAAATCCCCTAAAATTCCCAAATTGTGCATCAGCAATTATTGTCCCCATTTCTTCCCCGTCTGGGCAAAAAATGCTGGCAACGCTATGCTGATGGTCGTGGCCGTAGTTGTGGTATCCACCAAAACAGCGAGAGACTTTGTTTTCAGTTCACTAAGTGGCTCGAACCGTAAAGAACGTTTAAATATACACCACGGATAAAAGCACTTAGAGTTTGAATAGCTCTCTGTTACAAACAAAAAAAAGCTAAAGAGTGAAGTGATATTAAAGAAGTTTATATACAAAAAAAACAATAGGAAAAAAAAATTAACGAAAGCAAAGTGTTCAAGAAACAATATTTCTGGAATATTTCTATTAAAAAGACTTTGTTTTCTTCTCGCACGAAGAGAACATAAAAAAATAGTAAAAAAAGTTATTTGGTAATGCACAACAACAGTTTGCTTTGGGTTACAACAGAAGAGAAGCTGTAACTCTAATTTACGCATTAAAACAGTTTTCTTTGTTTGTGGCCATGCACGACGGTTAGAAAATCAATTACTCCCCCCTCTCCCTTGCCTTTTGCAATGATTCGTTGGGCAATTCGAACGGCTGAGGGCCAAGCAATAGACATTTTCGTTGTTTTTGTGCCTTTTTTTTTTTGTTATTTCCAATAGCCTTTCTATTTATAAGTTTTTCCGTAGTTTCCTTTCATTTAGAAAAAAAAACGAACAAAATTAAATTTGTCTGCCCGTGCCACATACATAAATAGTTTATAAATTCAAACATATTGATGCAATTAAAGGCAAAAACAACAATTATTGTATACAATTTGTTGTTATTGTTGTTTAAAAAAATAATAATAACAACACCAACCATCAACAAAAACAATAAATCAAAATTTCATCTGTGTTACAATGGGCCAAACACACACAGTTCAGTGCCGTTGAGTCTCCCCATCATAGTTTGTTGTTATTATTCTGCGTATGTAGAGAGTGTGAGAACAAGAAAGAGAGCCCTTTTTGGAGCAAGAACTCCAAACAAAACAAATTTGCAACAGTCTGTCAGAGAGAGAAAATAACGACGTAAATTGGCAAAAATCAGCTGTCTATTCCCTAATATATAGGCATATGGGATTTTTTGGGGGAGGGGGATAATAAACAAAAACAAAATAGGGTTGTCGATACAGGAAAATGTAAATAACAATAATACATTGGGGGGAAATGATGAATTCCCAACATAAGTCTAATTGCATGATTCATCAGTTGAATCTGTTATCCTGAAATATTGTTTTTATTTACATTTGATTTATTTTTATTACCATAGCCACAATCTGCAACTGGAGTGCTCAACCGTCCTAAAAACTATATAGATATATCGAAATTAACATAAAAATACAAAATTAAAAAAAAAATAAATCAAAACACTGTTCATTGTTCGCCGAAAAAAAGTGATCAAATATAAAAGTGAAAACGTAACGAATTTTTGCGAGAGATTTACACACGTTTTAAATAAATAAAGAGAGAAAAGGAAGCAGCAACATGCCTTTTATATCAAAAGATTGGCGATCACCCGGTGAGGCATGGGTCAAGACTGATGAGGGTTGGGAGAGGTTAAAGGTGCTGGAATGCGGTAAACGTAAAAGGTGGGTTTATGTTGGATACATCAATATTGTTATCGATTTTATAAATTATTGCAATCTTTGGTCCGTTCCAGAACTACAAAAATGTTTTTTTTTTCTGATTTTCCCTTTATGATATCGAAGAATATTGTAAAAATAGTAGATTCTTGCAGATACTGGAACAGAGCAATTATTGGATTACAATTTTGAATTGAACATTTTTAGTATCGGTACTATCGATACAACTGTTTTAAGAGATTTTTCGTAGAATATGGTAATATGTTTTAAAGGAACCGATAATGCCTTAATTTTTTTATAAAGACATAGTTGTTATCGCTAGGGATTCCTACCAAAAAAAAAATGTTATCGATAGGTGTTTTTACAGAAAATGGACAAATAGGTAAAGTAATAGGCTTAAATAAAAAAAGTATGTCGTTAACCATACGACACAGTTTTGTTTTTGTTTAAAATATTGTTATCGCTGTGACTTTAAGCTAAAATGCTGTTATCGATCATTTTGTTCATTTCCAACCATTATTGTGGTTTTGTATTTCTAAACAACTTTTACTCTCACAAAAAACAAATACATTTCCCAAATGTCGTGGTGTGTTTTCCGGGTTTAAATCATGCATAAGGTGGCATTTCCATTGAATTCAACAATGCAACAAAAAATTTCAACAGTTACATGATGTCTTAAACAAGTGTAGTGGCTTTTTAATTTAAAATGTTTTTTTTTTTTTTTATTTGGTGACTTTTTCGTGTAAACTCGTCTCTATGTGAGCCAATGGTTCAGTGGGTTTCGCGTGTTCGACGCTGACAACAACACGTCAATCATAATTTTTAATTTTTGAATGGATTTTGCTTTTGTCGTTGCAAAAATATTGCAATATCTTTTTAGCATTATTTTGATGGGAGAAAAATATTACATAACATTGAAACGGTTTGTTATTGTTGCAAAATATGCAGGGGGAAGTAGTCAAGAAATATGAATACTTAGCAAATAAAATTGTTATCCCTATTCTATGGAAATATACCATTATCGGCAAGATTTTATTGCTTTCGGAAATATATAATGTTGTTGTCTGATATATTTTCTGAATAAAATGTTATTATCAGTAGCATTTTCTAGAGAAAATATTGTTATCGAAAATATTTTCTATGAAAAATATTGATATCGGAAAAATTTTCTGTAGAAAATACAGTTATCGAAAATATTTTTCATAGAAAATAATGTTGTCGGAGATAATTTTCATAGAAAATATTTACTCTGTTCCAGAACCTGCAAGAATCTACTATTTTAGCAATTTTTCCGATATCATAAAGCGAAAATCGGTTATTGTAGTAAAAACTTTTACATTCTTGCATTTCTGCAACAGACCAATAGTTATCGGACATATTTCCATAGAGAATATTGTTATCGGCAAAATTTTCCTTATAAAAAGTTGTTATCGGAAAAATGTTCCATAGAAAACATTGTTATCGGAAATATTTTCTGCAGAAAATACTGTTATCAGAATTATTTTTCATATTTCCATAGCAAATATGGTTATCAGCAATGTTTTCCATAGAAAAAATTGTTATCGGAAATAATGAAAATATTGTTATTGGAAATATTTTCTGCAGAAAATAGTGTTGCTGGATATATTTTCCATGGCAAATAAATTTTTTTTTTTCATAGAAAATATTGTTATCGAAGATATTTTCCGCAGAAAATACAGTTATCGAAAATATTTTCTGCGGATAATACTGTATCAAAAATATTTTTCATAAAAAATATTGTTATCGGGTATATTTTCAATAAAAAAATGTTGATATCGGTAATATTTTCTAAAAAAGTATTGTTATCGGAAAATTTTTCCATAGAAAATATTCTTATCGAAATTATTTTCTGCGAATAATACTTTTATTAAACATATTTTTCATAAAAATATTGTTATCGGATATATATTTTATGGAAAATATTGTTATCGCCTATATTTTCTATGAAAAAAATATTTATATCGGTAAAATTTTCTAAAAAAATATTGTTATCGGAAAAATTTTCCACACATAATATTGTTATCGAACCTATTTTCTGCAAAAATACTGTTATCATATATATTTTGCATAAAAAATATTGTTATCGGGTATATTTTCTATGAAAAATATTGTTATCGGGTAAAAATTTCTAAAAAGGTATTGTTATAAAAGAAACATTTTACATAGAAAATATTGTTATTGGGATATTTTCTGTTGAAAATACTATTATCGAAAAAAAATTTTCACAGTAAATAATATTATCGGTAATAGAAAATATTGTTATTGAAATTGTTGTTATCAAAAATATTTCGTACAAAAAGTATTGTTATCGGCAATTTATCTAAATAAAAATTGTTAACGGAAATATTCTATAGAAAATATTTTTATCGGAAATTTTCTTAAAGAAAATGTTGTTATCGGAAATATTTTTTATACAAAATAATGTTATCGGAAATATTTTTCATTGAAAATAGAGCTATCCAAATTTTTCATTAAAAGAATTGTATTATCGGAAATATATCCTATAAAAATATTTTTATCGGAAATATCTTTCATTAAAAATATTGTTACCGGACATATTTTCCATGGAAAATACGAAAAATATTGTTATCGAAAAACAATATTCTATAAAAAATATTGTTATCGAAAAATTTTTCTACAAAAAATATTGTTGTCGGAAAATGTCTCAATAAAAATATAGTTATCGGAAAATTTTTCTTATAAAAAAGTATTTTTATCGGAAATATTTTCCACAGAAACTATTGTTATCGGATTATCGCCAGTATTTTCTATAACATATATTTTATCTGTTGTTTTTTAGTGGAAATGTATTCAGCTGCCTCTCTAATTTCAAATCCAAGAGCAAAAACTACCTCCACAAAATTAATGTTAACTCAACCAAGCGTGAAATTAAATTTCAGTTTTGAAGTGTGAATGTAATTTTCATTCGAACGGGTTTCCGTAACGCATAAACTTCTTTGTTTAACATGCCCCCTCACAGACCCCATTCGGCCCGCCATCGTCAAAACAGAAAAAAACACATGTGGCAAGTGAATTGTATGGAATTGGTTTCTTTTATTTCTCCCCTTTGTTTCAAATTTTTGTTTGTTTATTTCCACCATCCACAGATTGGTATGAATAGACAGACGTAATATGGTGAAATAGATTGGCACAATTTTCATAATTATTTTAATCAGCCAGGTTTAGTCATTCCAAACAAAAGGAAATCGAAAGTAAGTGGTGGAAACTTTGCAGTCGTAACATATGGTTGCAGGCAAAAGATGTCTCTGTGATGGTAATTTGGGTATATGGCAACTTATCGTTTTTTGATGTAATTTATGTCCCATTGCCTTATCTCTTGTAATATACCAAACCCACCAATGACACATAACATGACATTTGAAAAATCTAAAAAGTTTTCTTTGATTAATTTGCCAATGAAAAGGCATCTGTTTTATTTTTTTTCTTCTTCTTTCTGTCACGAAATTGAAAATTATTCTCCGTCCTACTATTATCTCTTTACTACAACTACAATAGCGTAACTGTTATACACTGGCATATCAAAAAAACAGAAAAAAAAACAAACTCTATCAGCTGTTTTATGCAACAAATGCATGCTGCTGTTATTGGGTGTTGCAACAAGGATAATGTATATATACCATACAAATACATATATAGATATATTTGTATATAGCACCAAGTGTTTTATGTACATACAAAACTACAAGGAAAACGGCAACAAATGCATTTGAAAAATGACAGACACAGACAGAAATTGAGAAGAGAGCAATCACACTGAGTCGGATAGTATATCTACAACAATGCACAAAGAGATAAAGGGAAATACAAGTTTTGTTCGAGTTTCAGAAAAATGAGGTGAAGGTTTCCAAAATATTACAGACACATAGAGTTGTGTGTGTGTGTGTGTTTGTATGTCGGTGTGTTGGTATACATTTCTAGGTAAAATTTAAATATATATATAAAATGCAGATATATATGTATATTTAAAGTTAAGAATATGGTTGGGTATTACTTGGACAAGAAACAAATTTCATAAAAATAACATTGGAATCGGCAGATCCTGCCATGAAATACTATTATCAACGTATCTTTTATTAAAAAAAATATTATCATCGGTAATATTTCCTTAAGAGAATTAGTTATCGTGACATTTTTGTAGAAGTTATTTCAATGGTTAATATTTTCTTAAGAAAATTTTGTTATCGAAAATATTGTGCATGAAAAATCACGTTGCCGACAATATTTGCTCTGTTCCAGAACAGCAAGAATATAAATGTTTTTACTATTATGACCTATTTTCCCTTTATGATATTGAAGAAAATTTCAAATATAGCAGATTCTTGCAGGTACTGGAACAGAGCAATTATCTATGGAAACATTGCTATCGATAAAATATTTTATAGCAATTATTGTTGGAACAGAGCAAGTTTTTTTTTCAATTAAATAATTCTTTATAATAGGGCTATCGAATATAAAGCAAATGCGTTTTTTGATAATATATTCTATAAAAAATGTTATCGATAATAGAAAAATCCTTTAGGAAACATAGACTTCAATAGTATTTTCAAAAAAAAAAAATAAATAAATAAATAAATAAAATATCGATAACAATTTCTATAGAAAATACTGTTTCGATAATAATTTCTATAGAACATCTTGTTATCGATAATAATTTATGTAGAAAATATAGTTATCGATAATAATTTCTCTAGAAAATATTGTTATCGATAATAATTTCTCTAGAAAATATTGATATCGATAATAATTTCTATAGAGAATATTGTTATCGATATTAATTTCAATAAAAAATATTGTTATCGATATAAATTTCTATAGAATAATTTGTTATCGATACTACTTTCTATAGAAAATATTATTATCGACAACAAATTCTATAGAAAATAGTGTTATCGATAATAAATTCTATATAAAAAAACTGTTATCGACAATAAGTTCTAGAGAAAATATTGTTATGGATAATAATT